CTTTCTGAGCTAACAACAACCCAATTCAACTGTGATGATTGTTTAAAGCATCTTAAAATAGATATAAGAAATTGTCACTTGTATTATTGTATTTTTTTGGTCCTAAGCAGCTTTAGCATCCAGGACAAGCTAACCTTGATGTATGCTACATGAAAATGCTGAGATATATCCAATAGAGGTTGCTTATTTCCTTATAATAGAACTTCCTTTAAAAAAAAAATAATTAAAAAATCTTGATCTATCCCTTTAATTTACCATGAACGACTGAAGTAGCAAAAAATAATTTCTAATGGAGGCTAAACGTAGAGAACAATGTCTGCTTTTCAGGCGAGGCAGATTGAGCCGACATGTTTGGCTCATGTTCGCCAAGGCGACACTGATGAGTTTTTTTTTTTGTTTTTTTTTTTCCCAGAGTGAAAGCTTCTGATAAAGTTGGGCGAGATGAGCGTGGATGACACTGTGTCGATGTAGCAGCTGTGGGACATGTGGCCATCGTATCATAGGATGTCCTCGGATTAATTTCTTCCACAAAGAAATTGAATCATGACATCTTTGTCTCCGTCCCGTTCTGTCAGGGAGTTATGGCAACCTCGCTGTAGCACAGCATCGTGGGAAAGATTGTGATTGAATGTGAGAGGAAAAGATACAAAAAAAAAATCAACCGATGATAGAAACAATATGACCTTCTAACCTCAAGTTTTGTCTTGGCTGTCAGCTAACTCTGCCTAATCCTAATGCATCAGAGAAGTTTTGGAGACACACACACAAATCTGAGCCAACTGTTACAGCAGACAGTGGACCGATAAACATGCAAAGTGACAGATGTAAGATGGAACCATGGAGGAGCTCGTTGACCTCTGCTCTGTTCGGGGCGCTGTGCTCACCAGCACAAATTACCCATCCGTCCATCCCGTGTTTCCTCCCAGCAACAGGACTGACTGCGGATCCTGGAAGTCTCTGCACAAATGCTGTCTGCCGATGTCTAGAAATTGTTTTTCTTTCCCCGTTTACTGGGGGGGGGGGAAGAAAAGATCTAACTGGGTAAATTTAGGGGGGAAAAAAATCAGAATGAAACAGAATAGAACAGTAAATTGTAGACTTTAGATATGAAATTATATGCTCCATCCATAAAAAAACTATTTGCACCCTGCTTTCATAGTCCAGTTTCAGGTTTTGCCTGCCATCCGTGCACTTTGAAAATGTATTTTTTCCCCATTTGTCTTTATAAAATAGCTAAGGTTCAATTACGGTGGTTGGAGAGCCTTTATGAATATCAATTTTCAACTCTGGCTTCATTTTATGGACTTATTTCTGGACTTTTACTAGGCCAAAGCAACACATGGATAACCTTTGCACTTAAACAATTTATTCTGGGACATTTCTTGCTTCCTGAAAGTACTGAGCTAAGTATGGCAGATTGTCTGTGCTTCAAGTATGAACATTATCATTGTTTTTATTTAATGTTTTATTTAATTTAATGCAGGTGTAGTTCTGGAGACATTTGGATAGTAGCATTGATCATTTCCCACGCAATGTGACTGAGATAACAAGAAAACTGACAC